AGGGACCGGGGCCCCCCGCCGCAGCAGGCCGATGTGCCCAGCCCCACACGCTGCACCCCTGCCCCTTCTTTGCCACATCAGTTCCCGTCAGTAAGCTCCTCCAGTCCCAATCCCCTGCCATAGGCAAGGACACCCACTAGAGCAGGTTGCTCCAAGCCCCTGTGTCCAACCTGGCCTAATTCCAGGATTAACATCCTTTAAACCATTCCTGAAGTTAAGGGGTGAGTAATTCAGTGCTTGTATTTGGTTGTTCGCGTTTCATGGATTGAAACAAAACTTCGGTGGCCAATTGCAGGCTCAGGCAACCCTCAAGAGCAAGTTTTTACAGTTACAGACAGGGGAGCATCACAAGCAGCATCTACAGGCACAGAGCCGGAAGCTGCAGAAGCCAATCCACCACGTCCGAGAGCAGAACTGCAGACAAGTACGTCATACGGGTGAGGAGACATTTACACTACTCCCAGCAGTCCGGAGTGTTGAGTTATAGTGGGTGTTAAAAGCTGTCAGGAAGTGGGAGAGGAAGGAGGAAAGGAAAAGCCTGTCTGAAGCTGAGCTGTGGAGGAAGAAAATGATCACAGAGCTTAATCCATTCTGAAATGATGATGATGATGTGTCCAAAACCAATCTCAAATAATAATAATAATAATAATGATTGTAAAAAATTAAGAGTAACAGCCCTCCTCCTAATCTGACAACTACTGGCTTTCAAATCTATGTGAGATGTTGCCTCTAGTACCTCTATGTCTTCACCTAAAAACATGATCTGTTGTTTAAAGACCTTCCCAAATACCTCCTTACCAGAAAATATCAGTACAATAAAAATGATGCACAATTGTTTCTCTCGTTGCTTTGGCTGTACTGTTAATTTGACTTGAATAGTTACAGTCCATAAGCTACTCTTGGTAGTCATTACAGACTAATAATATAGCCATTATAGAATAATAATTTAGTCATTTTATAATAATAAGTTGAAAGGGACACTAGGGCTGACCAAGGAGGGCAAGTGGGTCTGCCATCCAGACAAATGGAGTTTTTCCAGCCATTTGCAGCCATTTCTATTGAGAGAGTTCCAGAGGGGTTTCCCATCCCTTCTGCCAGCTTCCTGACTGGATCCAGGTTATATTCTTGTTCCAGATGAGATAAAACATTGCAAGTGTCATCACTGTCACTTGTTTTGGGGAAACAGGGGAACTATTGTAATTATTTAAGTATTTCTCTAGGTTTTTGATGAAGGAAAGGATGTGACGCCCCATCCACTCTTCCAATCAGACCCAAGTTCTGCTACACTCAGGCAAGACAAGTTATCTACAGCCACAGGATCCCTTTTGCTTGCTCTTTTTCCCACGCAGCAGCCATCAGGAACTAGTTTAGCCTCCTTCTCATGGTAAGTCAATGCACTGGTTCTTAAATCTGGCCTCAAACCTGCAGCAGCCACACTCCTGCTCTTCACAGAGCTTGGGAGCTGGTGTTATTGTGCAGAGCTGGTGAACACACTCTGCTGTCCAAGTACACAAACACGCCTGTCAGTCTTCACTTAAAATTTGGGGACCAGCACAAGTAGAACGAATGGAATTTATCTGTACTCATGACTATGTTGGAACTCCTGCTGGAATGCTCACACATGGAGGTGGAAGCAGACTGCAGCACATGCTCCTGTGATATCTCTAATTTCACTCAAATTCTCCTTCATTTGATTCTCCCCCTCTGCTGCAGAGCCCTCCCTGCAGCCCTGACCCAGCTCTGGGGAACAGCACAAGAGGGACGTGGAGCTGCTGGAGCGAGGCCAGAGGAGGCCCCGGAGCTGCTGCGAGGGCTGGAGCAGCTCTGCTCTGGAGCCAGGCTGAGAGAGCTGGGCTGGGGCAGTTGGAGAAGAGAAGGCTCCTCAAGGGGACACCTTAGAGCAGCTCCAGGGCCTAAAGGGGCTCCAGGAGACCTGGAGAGGGGCTTTGGACAAGGGCCTGCAGGGACAGGCCAAGGGGAATGTCTTGAACCTGCCCGAGGGGAGATTGAGATGAGCTCTGAGGCAGAAGCTCTTCCCTGTGAGGGTGCTGAGGCGCTGGCACAGGGTGCCCAGAGAAGCTGTGGCTGGCCCATCCCTGGCAGTGTTCAAGGCCAGGTTGGACACAGGGGCTTGGAGCAACCTGCTCTAGTGGAAGGTGTCCCTGCCCGGGGCAGGGGTTGGAGCTGGAGGAGCTTTAAGGTCCCTTCCAACAACAAACCAGTCTGTGGTTCTATGATTCCTAAAGCACATATTTTTAGGTAACATACCAGAATGGACCATTTTTAGAGATTGTGATGAGCACCTCATGGTTCAAACCCGATGCCACCCAAGCAGCAGGCTTTGTACTGGTGAGGGCTGCACACAAAGTTACAACAGAACCTACACACAGATAGGCCACAAAGCGCTGTTTAAAGGTTGAGGAGGTCATGTTCTGGTTGTCCGAACAAGGCTGTGCAGTGGAGATGGCGCACTTGTAGCTTGTTAATGCACTCCCTTTAACTGCCTCAGATCCTTTCTGCCTTCCCCAAGCTTGGTTGTGGGTTTTTTTTCCCAAAACTGGAATATATCAACACCTTTCCATCTGTGGGTACGGAAAAATGCTTTGGAAACGTGAGGCCTGGTTTCACTGAAGAGCTACAAACTTATTTTTAAGTATTTTGCCTGTTTTAATGACACTTACTAAGTACAGAAAGCCCTTTTTACAAACTTGTACCTCTCAGTTCAAATACCTACATACTGTTAACACAGTAAGAATCCTCTATTTGAAACCAATTTAGGCAAATTACCACTGTGTGATTATGTGCATCCATTTCAAAAGACACTCTTACACAAAAACGTTTGAGTTAAAGCTGATGAATTACATGTTTTACTACTTAGGAGCTTTACTTACAAACCTTCAGTACAGAGGGAATAAACAAAGTCAATGGACTTGAGCCATTTTCTCTTGGGGTGACAGATTCAATTAAGTCATGCAAATGAAGGTAAAGGACTATTTGTGTTTCAAAGGAAACCTAATGAAGCACATCAGTGTATCAAACGTGTGTGCACACTCAAACTGCACAAGAGGAGATGTTATGTATTTAGTCAAAGGGACTAAAGGACTGGTAAAGTCAGCACTGGGAATAAAACACAAAGAAAAGCTTTATTTACTGTTTTCTTTGGCAAGGTTAGTACCATGGTGATGTCTGAGAAGGAGGGATTGCTCTTTGGGAACTCTCTTTGTCATGTTTCCTAGGCTGGCTGTTAGAAAGGGTAATCCCAGAGGAAGGGATATTAACCAGGAGCAGACACAAAAAACTGACTTAAGAATACAAAGTATCTCCTGAAAACTAAACACATCCTTTTTTTGAGACAAGAGGCCTTCATTTAACAGACAAAATGAAACTATTTCACTTTAGTCTTAAACACAAACCTTAAAAACTGTCTTTTCACCTGCTTTTGGTGTCACTGCTCATGCTCAGCTGTTGAGGCAGAGAAAATCTGCTAACCTCCCAGCTGTACCAAGTTCTGAGTTTTACCTCGCATTCCGATGCCCTCTGTGAACATCACCAATGGTTTTTAACAAGCTGATCACTTCAAAGGACTTTCTGGTGCATTTCAAAGACTTTTCAGCACGTGCAAAGCACCAAAGGATCTGAACCCTGGTGGAGATGGGTGCTGTCTGTGGGTGCACCTTATCACACAGTGGGTAGCGAACACTTCACTTTATTATATGCTAGGGCTGAACTCAAGAGCTCAGTAGCTTCTTTGCCATCAGCTCTTTAATTCCTCAGGATATGCTGTCAGAGGAATTCTTTCTTTTTAAGTCTTCAAACCATTTCTTTTCTTTCCTAAGCCTTCTGCGACTCCTTTCACAACTATCACCATACGTGCTCTTACAGCCCTCGTGGTTTATCCTGGTAAAAACACTGCTATTTTTGTGGCATTTTGCTGACTGACATCTGGTCCCTCACATACTATTTCTGCTTATTTCTTTGTTCCTGAAGGACACATGGAAGCAGCACCACATCTATATCAAACGCCTCAACAACTGACTCTGTACTGGATGAAACAGTGGAGCCTGGCTCTCGAGGGGACACAGCTGCTAGTTTCCCTGGTAAAGAACATGTGCTGTAGAATTAAAGGCTTAATTCTTCTTTGGAACACTGTGATTTGTGAGACACTGCAGCCAGTGGGTGTGAGAAGCCCACCACTTCACTCAGTGCCTCACAACTTTTGGCTCCTGATCATTCAATACTATTCACATTAATTTGTCTTCTTTGACATTTAGAGCAGAAAAGGTCTCACTTGTAGATCTCATCTAATTTTTCAGATGTGCAGGTGAGACAAGACAAGATAAAAGAAGAACTGACAGAAGCAGACTTAGATAGGAGAGTGGATATTTACCTCACAGAGACAGAAACTATCTGGATACTGAATCTGCCAGCTGTTGTGATGTCTACAGAGTCAGAAGATGCTGAAAGAGTTCTGTATGTATCTCTGTAGTTGTGTACACACACGTGCTCAGCACACCCGATTTCTGCTGGTGGCAAAGTCCTCAACAGGCTGCTTACACACAGGTTCAGTGTTCTGACTACTACAACCTGTCATTCCACCTTTGTTTAAAGCCATATTGGGCTCGAGTCTCTCTTTTGACATGACAGCTTAAATTTCTTATAACTCCATCTTGTTGAGTAAATCAGTTCTCTCTTTCACTGATAAAAGAAGGCAGATTAGCAAAGGCAGGGGATGGTAACCAGAGAATATACAGGGGATGGGGGAAAGAGGAGATGGAGAAGCGTGGAATACATGAATTACAGGATTTAATTTTAATGAAAACAATCTGAAATTGCAAACATTTGCACTGATTCTTGTGTGTTGCTTTAGAGCTACTCATGTATTAGTAACAAAAATACAAACAAACTCTTCAGGCTTCCCCTGAGGCTCTTCACAGTGCTCTGACCTAGAAGAAAGCTTACCCCACAAGTGACCTTGCCTGTTAAAATATTGTGTACCCCCTTAGTCGCATCTGGTGTGTTTCTGCTCCAGAGTCTCCTCCCTGGACTGCCATGAACTTTGGTAAGGAGTTAACCCAGAACACCAGGGTTTGACTTATTCCCAGGAGCTGGCTGGGACAGAGTGCAGCAAAGTTCTCTTCATGATGGATGTCAGGCTGCTAGACTTGTCACAGGCTTTTGTAAATGGCAGCCCCAGAGCCTGGGATGGACTGGACTGCAGCTGGCAAGTCAAACAACTGCCTAGGGGAGGTTTTTCTGCTAGTATAGAATCCCAGACTGGTTTGGGTTTGAAGGACCTGAAGATCATCCAGTCCCAACCCCTGCCATGGGCAGGGACACCTTCCACTAGAGCAGGTTGCTCCAAGCCCCTGTGTCCAACCTGGCCTTGAACACTGCCAGAGATGGGGCAGCCACAGCTTCTCTGGGCACCCTGTGCCAGCACCTCAGCACCCTCAAAGGGAAGAGCTTCTGCCTAAAATACTTTTTTATTTATATAAATATATTCACACTATGTTCATGGTAGGACTCCAACCCCCACTGCCTGTGAATCACATTGATGTGATTTTGGGGGAAGAGGAAGAGCATTCTGTGAATCAGACTTAGCCAGTGTACACAGCACACAGCGCCAACCGTACAGGAACAGACAGACTCCTCCTGAGCACAGCAGCCTGTTTGTGATCTAGGGTGTGGTATCACCCCTATCTGCTGTCAGAATATTGAAACCAGAACAGTAGAAAAAGCTTCACAATCCCCACTGACCATCCCTAAGAACCCGAGGGCTGGATGAAACAGAACTACTCTAGTTTCATTTCTGTCTCTTGGACGCACTGCCCTTCATTCCAAGTGATGAGAGCTACATACTTCTGAACCCCACTGAAACCCACCAAAGGTAGCTGGAGTAGCTGATGTCTACCTTTGCAGGCCATTTCTGGTTTAGAACAGCATCACAAGGTCACCACTAGCTGCTGAAAGCCAATACATAGAGTGAAATAAAATCTAGCAATCCAAAAAGCCCCGAGCAGTAAACTTATGCCATGGAGTATCCTCTCTGGTGCAACTTGTGGTTAAATACACCGAGAAGTTGAATGCAAATGGTTTTCAGACAGTCAATGTACACTTTTTTCCCCTTCTTTCCAAGGGAGCGGAACAAGGTTTACACTGACATGTGCAAGAGCAAGGCTGACGATGACCGCTTTGTGGAAAGAACAATGCAAACCATCAATGGAGCCACAAAGAGCAAGGAGGTGCAATGTGACAGAATCATCATGGAAGACAAAGGTGAAGTTCCCAAGTCCCATATTCTTAGAAAGGGTATTTAATAAGAACAGACTCTCACTTACTGCACTGTACCCTTGGCAGTTCATTATTAGAATCAGAATGGTTTGGGTTGGAAAGGACCTTAAGATCAGCCAAATCCAACCCCCTGTCTTGTGCAGGGATGCCCAAGGCTCTGTCCAACCTGGCCTTGAACACTGCCAGGGATGGGGCATTTACCCCGCCCTTTGGCAACCTGTTCCAGCGCCTCAGCACCCTCACAGGGAAGAACTTCTTCCTTATATCTGACCTGAACTTCCCCTGTTTCAGTTTAAACCCATTACCCCTTGCCCTATCACTACAGTCCCTGACGAAGAGTCCCTCTCCAACATTCAGTTTACCTACTAAACATTTATTTGGGCAAACTCCAGCATACAGCTGGATTGTGGGACCTCAGCAGACTCCCTGTACACAGTTGGGATACTGAGGAAAGGGCTTTCTTTCTATCTTCCATCTCTAAGAAGGAGATGTCTCCTCAACTTCCACTTCCAGAGCTACTGTGATTTGTGGTGGCTTTTTCTGTCCTTCATAAAACTCAAGCACTGGTGCTGGTGCACTGCATCTGTTGCAACAAAACAGGCATTACATTAGGAGAGAGCTGCTGTGTCCCGCCTTCCTCAGCACCCTGCAAGCAGCGTTTGCTGCTCAGGAGGCAGAATTCCCCCTATTACTCAATCATGCTCCTGAAATATGACAGGACACAGTTCCCTTTTTTCCCCTTTGCTTCTCAGTGATGTTGGTTTCTATTTCTATTTGCCGTAATGCAAAGAGAAACCCTGGCCTGAGATTCAATGACTTGGGGAAAGCAGAAAATCTTGGCAGTCTCACGAGATAAATGCAATTTTACATAATGTTCAGTCTCAATCCTCTAAAAAAAGGTTATAGGGGAATATCAAGGTTATAGATTCATGTGCTGAGCTGAGCCTCACTAAGGGCATTTTTTTTTGGTGTAGGAGGCCAAACAAAACCATGGGAATTGCCATTCCAAGCATTTCCCTTTGTTTTTGTTACTGTATGTAAAATGAGGGGAGGAATGATGGGGGGGAAGAACTTAAATAGATATTGATCTGATTTGAAAAACATATCTTCCCCCTTTATGCATGCCTTGAGTATCAGCAAAGCTCATTCCAACCCACGTTTGAAAAGCTGAGCATGCAGAGGGAAGACTGTGGAGCATTGTTTGACCCTGCTGAAGGGAAGCCACATAGCCAGGAGACCCTACCAGAGCTGCTGCAGTCACACAGCAGATGTTGCTCCAGCCTTGTTTGAAACCACAGTTGGTTTCAAATCTCCTCAGCCAAACAGTTGGGAGCACAGTGCAGAAAGTAAATCTTTGCTCAGCTGTACATAGTCCTTATCATAAGGAATCACAGCCTGATTTGGGTTGGAAGGGACCTTAAAGCTCCTCCAGTTCCAACCCCTGCCACGGGCAGGGACACCTTCCACTACAGCAGGCTTCTCCAAGCCCCTGTTTCCAGCCTGGCCTTGAACACTGCCAGGGATGGGGCAGCCACAGCTTCTCCACTCAACCCATTCCAGTGTCCCACCATCCTCACAATGAAAAACTAAGATCTCATCTAAATCTGCCTTTATAGTAACATACTGAAACAAGAGACTTGTGTAACACAATGTAATTCATTCCTAGGGGAGATGTCCACTTCCTGGGACTTTTATGATACATTTAATGCATTGGAAACAGAACCAATGTTCAGAACAGAAGGCAGCACAAACAACAACACAGAGAAGACAACTGAGACAAGCAGCAAACCTCACACCACTAAAGAGCAGGATCAGACTACCCCTGTCTCTTCTACCAAAGGTAACGTTCTTCCAGTTTGACATTCCTGCCATGTTTTCATCCTTCTAAACCACGCACATCCCTATGGTGTGTGAAGAAAATGCTTGGTCTGCCTGCCTGGCACTTGAAAGAGAGTTTGCTGAAGACTCCTGGACAGGCCCACACCAAGACCTTGTCTGTGAACTGCCATCATACCTTAAATACAGATCAATAGTCAGTGACGAAGTTTGCTGGTATTTACTTAGGACAGTAGAAGCAAAACACCAATTGGGAACAACTTCACAATGTCTCATCATACAATTTGAGCAAGAAAATATCAAAATTAAAGCAAGAAAAAATTAATAGTGGAAGTATTTTTTGATGATGACAGATTCTTCTATGCTTTTTGCAGGTGGAGGAAGAGGAGATTTCTTATCCCCTTGATTTTTATGTGCTAAGTATTTTCATGTTCAAACTGGCTTTTCCTGTGTTATCTGTTGTCAGGCAGCACAACTTCTGTGACTTCAGAAAGTACTGTTGTTGCCAGAAACCAAGGGGAGGAGAAGGAGTGCCAGTCAGAAGCTCTCCCAGTACCAGAAAACCTTCAGGAGGGTTTATTTTTCATGGAGAGGATTCTAATGGAGAATATTTTCCAACCCAAACTCGCAGCTTATCGGCAGTTTCCCATCCTTACAGGTTTGATTCTTATTGACTACCCTGTTTTCAGCACAAGGCTTGGCCTGCTATTGAGTCACAGAGTCCTGTCCCTCATCCAGTGTCTTTACAGACAAGTCATTTAAGAAGTAGACAAAGGAAAGGAGACTTTAGGAGATGCCAACATGCACTTTGTAGTTTGAAACTCACTTTAACACACATCCCTACCATACTTGGTGGAAAAATTGAACAAATGAGTCCTCCCCTCATGACCACAAACTGAGACTTACTCAAAGTACTAGTCAAACTTGTTTCCTGACAGTTAAGATACAGATTAATTCTGCTACTTCTCCAACTACCTGTTTTCATTGCAATGTCTTTTACAGTTTGCTTGGTGGGGTTTTTTTGGCGTTTCATTTATTTTATGAGAACACTGATGGTAAACAGAAGTTTTAGCCTGATGGATGTTCAGTGTTTAACAACGTACATTCATTGCAGACTCTAAGAGGCATTCCCTGGACCATGTTCTAAGTAACATTTTACCTTGTACAGGAATTCCAAGTTAACACAGGGATTAAAATAAAAATCAAAGGCAGATCCACACTGCTGATACTGTATTGTACCTCCATGACCTAGAGAGCTACAGTTTCTCAGGCAATGAAACTGTGACATCCTGTCACTCTTCAGGAACTAACTACTGTGAGAGCACAATATGGCAGTTTACTGTGTTCTGATTCTGTTAACAGTGATCTGAGATCAATTTATGATTTGTACATTACATAAAGGGGTGAGTAAACAAAAAATACTTGGCAAACAGTCTAAAAATATCCCCTACACTTGATTTTCCCAAGTAATGAGCAACTTACTACAGCACCATGTAACTTACCTATGGTGTTGCAGCATCAAGGTGTAAGTGTGGCTCTTTAAAAATCTGGCATCTAGAAGAAAATCCCTGTTTAGACACATTTTTAAAGATGAGAGATTAGAAACATTCCTGGTAGGGGGTGAACATACATTCCTAGCTTGTTGCTGGGTAGTTAAACCCACTCATTAAACCCCTGGAGCATACCTGGCACACCACAGCCTAATCCAGCCGCATCAACGTTTTAGCTGTAGTTTTAGAAGTTAGGATGCCTTAATTCTTCAAATCTTCACCTCATTTTGGGTTTTTTGCTACAAAATATTTTCTGAAAGGGTAAATTTTGCTTCTGATGTGAATGACTGAAGTTGGATGAGCAAAATGTTACTACTCAGACTCTACCATATTGGTGTGTTTTAGATCCTGATGTTACATCAGACAGTAGTGGTACAAAGAGAGACAAAAAAGAAGCCAAACAAGAAAAGCTTGACAGGCAAAAGGATGAGCAGGAGGAAGCATTCACTGATCCATCAATTCTGTCAGCTCTAAAAGAAGAAATGGCCCCAGTTCCCACATTGGAATGGCTGTGGTCTTACACGTGTGGTTTAACTAATGGTCACAGCGTGAGCAGTATGGCCTGGAGCAAAGTAAACCCAGTGAGTTCACAGATCTTCTTCTAAGCTGTTTCAAAATGGTCTAAGCCATTGTTGGTGTAAAAATAAGCCTCTGATTTTGATGTAGTTTGTTGGGATGTCAGGGAGATGGATTCATCCTTATAGTCAGGTGGTTTGTCTTTGCATCCCACCCTCTGCATTTTATCCTTTTATATAACAATATTGCTACATTATCCTACAGGCTGGACCACTGCAATAGACTTTTCCTACAAAATCTATCACAACAGCTTTAACTGGTCCAGAATTTAATTTAACTGTCCAGCTTACCACGGACAGTCACCTGAGCAACAACATTAAGATAAAAGACTTGGTCTGTTACAGAATTGGAAGCAGAAAGTTAGCCCTCCTACTGCTAAATTTATCACCATTGATGGACTATATTCATTGCAATGGTTTGGGTTGGAAGGGACCTTAAAGCTCATCCAGCTCCAACCCCCTGCCATGGGCAGGGACACCTTCCACTAGAGCAGGTTGCTCCAAGCCCCTGTGTCCAAGCTGGCCTTGAACACTGCCAGGGATGGGGCAGCCACAGCTTCTCTGGGCACCCTGTGCCAGCGCCTCAGCACCCTCACAGGGAAGAGCTTCTGCCTCAGAGCTCATCTCAGTCTCCCCTTTGGCAAGTTCAAGCCATTCCCCTTGTCCTGTCCCTACAGTCCCTTGTCCAAAGCTCCTCTCCATGTTTCTTGCAAGTCCCCTTTAGGTATTGGAAGACTTTCATAAAGTCTCCCCTGAGCCTTCTCGGGATACCACATCTTTATTTCTAACTATAATCTCCCAAGAAAGCAGCATTCATCTAACTTTAAGGACAAGATGCATCATAACAGGCACAGATTTCTAAGCAGCTGGCCTAAGTTTATTCAGTTTGGTTTCAGTGGAGGCGAGACCGTCTCAGACATCTCCGCTTTCACAGCAACGTAAGGCTCAGTTTTTCCAGCAGAGCTCTCTTATGGCGTCAACAAAAATAATGAATGGAAGGAAAGTAAAAAGCAGGTGAGGATGAGAAACATAAAACCAGGAAGATTGCCCCAAGGGAAAAACGAGAGAACATAAAGACCATTTCACACTGTTAGTACACCAGATGCCCAGATATGATTAAGTTGGACACGTTTATAGACTTCAATCTAAAGGGCAAACAAATACCTTTTAAAGTGTTAGTTTCTCTGGAAAGGGACATATTTTTATGCTGGCAGGAGTGGGGACTGCAAACACAGCTGACAGTGGCTATAAATGCACTTTTAGTTGAACCAGCTTCCAGTACTCTAGAAATTCTGTTGTTCTTGTGTGTTACTCCACTTGCACATGAGCATTATTTTTCCACACTTTGTACTTAGTCACTGTTAACAGAAAGTTGCCTTTTAGAAATACACAACTGAAGTCCCAGTGAAACTGAGGTATCTCTGTTCATCTGTGCTTCCAGGATCTTTTAGCTGTTGGTTATGGAGCATTTGATTTTAAAGGCCAGAAGAAAGGCTTGGCCTGCTGCTGGTCACTGAAGAACCCCATGGTAACGAGCAGCCACTTTGTTTTCTTTCTTTTTCCTCAATGCATTTTCCTGCTACACTATTTCTGCTTTATGTATTTCCCCCTTAAAATTTCTAAAAGCAAGACCTAGCAGTGAGGTTGAACTTGCTATCCCAAAGCAAACATCTCTGGAAAACTGATTGACAACAGTACCTAGCAATGTGCTTAAATCTTGACCCCAAGAAAGCACCTGTAGGAAGCAGTTTAGTTCTGTGCCTGTCTGTCCTCTCAACTGACACTTCCAACAGAGGTGATGACTGCACTGGTGGTTTGATACCATGGACATCTGTTCCCAGGAGCTAAACTCACTGCACACAGGCCACCAAGCAACTAACAGATGGTTACTACAGGTAGTACCAGTCTATGCCAGGCAAAGTAGCAATGCAGATCTCTGTACCCCATTTCCAATCCCTAGAGCCACCTACCCAAGACTGTAAACCTGCTCTGTTACTACTGTGGGTAGGCTCAGGTATGTAGAAATCATTAGTTACACTGGAAAAAAGCCTTGAGCACAGCAAATGTGAAAATAAATCCATTTACTTTTTGTTTTTCAAAATTTACAGGCCATTTGTTCAATGCTTCCAAACTCTCATCACAGAGAACAAGTGAATTTTAAATTTAAGGGTTATCCTTTCCAACCCAAGAAAAGAAACTAAATCAAACAAACAAAACCTTCACGCTATACTCACATAGCTCAGTCTTAGGGAACTTGATTTTTTGGTGTTTGGTCTGGAGCAGGCCCATCTAACTTGTTTTACAGTGTAATATTTCTGTGTAGTCTTCATTTTTCCCTAATTACATCAGCTGCAGCAAGAAATCCCAGAATCCCAGCCTCGTTTGGGTTGGAAGCGAGCTTAAAGCTCCTCCAGCTCCAACCCCCTGCCATGGGCAGGGACACCTTCCACTAGAGCAGGTTGCTCCAAGCCCCTGTGTCCAACCTGCCCTTGAACACTGCCAGGGATGGGGCAGCCACAGCTTCTCTGGGCACCCTGTGCCAGCGCCTCAGCACCCTCATAGGGAAGAGCTTCTGCCCAAGAGCTCATCTCAGTCTCCCCTCTGGCAGGTTAAAGCCATTCCCCTTGGTCTGTCTCTACAGGCCCTTGTCCAAAGCCCCTCTCCAGGTTTCCTGCAGCCCCTTTAGGCACTGGAGCTGCCCTAAGGTCTCCCCAGAGCCCCTCTTCTCTAGACTGAAATAAACTGAACCATGTAGAATATAGTACCTGATTTCTGTCTACAAGTAGTCACTATGGCCATCAGGACTTGAATTCTGCAGCAGAGCCTGGCAATTCAGTATCCAGTGCTGAGAAGACCAAGGCAAATTAAGAAACTAACTTCAAACATCCTTGTGTTTTTCTCCTGGTCAGTGGCCAGAGCGCATTTTCCATTGCGAGTATGGTGTTACTGCTCTGGATTTTTCCATGGCGAGCCCAAATCTCTTGGCAGTTGGAATGTACAATGGATCTGTCAGAATCTATGATGTACAGAACTGTAATGACACCGTGCTCTTGGACAGCAGGTAAGGCAATGACTGCACATCTCCACCCACCCTGGTCACCTCTTAACAAATAAAGGAATAGCCACAAGTGAGGACTTGACGGAACACTAACAGCCCAGTCCTCAGCCACCAGCATTCTCCTTCTGTACTGCCATTGTTCTCTACCCTTACTCTGGCTGATAAATGCTTATATTACTTTAACACCACCGGTCCTTATCTGGGGTATGACACTCTCTGTGCTGTTACTGTGCATACAAGGCAAGTTCCCCGTGTTGGAGAGGTGAAACAAATGAGTACTATGCTCTAAGAAAATGCTGCAAGTTACCACCACGTACCATTTCATTCTCCATGTACTTACTAAGACAACCCTGCCCCACATAATAAATCCTTATGGGAAACCAGTTGCAGATTTTGGTGTTTTCTCACTGATTCCACTTGTCAAAAAAGGAGAGAACATCAGAACAGGGGAGGGATAAGGAGGAGTTAAAAAGAAAATGGTGGTGGTGGTGAATCAGGGAGACATGTATCTTTAAGGGCAGCTCCCAGGTCTAGGGCACTCTCCTACAGGCTGATTTCATGATTCAGGTGTCAATGAAAGGTGTGTCAGCACATTAACAGTGCCCTGAACCTATATCTCAAACATGCTTGATAGAAGAAAATGTTTCCTGGAGAAAACAGCCAATGTTCAGATTTCTTTTGTTTTGTTTTGAAGAAAAGCTAACAATATTTTTATCATAAGACTTTATGTTCATTACAAAGTAGAAGGTTAGCTATTTCTTGTCTTTGTTCATCCGTGATTTATCACGTGCATCTTTTGTCCCAGTGAATCCCCAAATAAACATACAGGTCCTGTGTGGCAACTGAGGTGGGTGGAACAGGACAGAGGTGAGGCAGGAGGTGGCAAAAGAGAGAGACTGCTCTGTATCTCAGCGGACGGACGAATAACCGAGTGGTACATACAGAAAAGACTCGACTGCACTGGTAAGCACCGTCCCCTGCAGCATTCCCACAGAGGGACAGCACCTGAACTGCTCCATTTCATTTCAGGTGACATTTATACCAGTTACCATACACAAAACATCTAAGAGCTATTGAGCATTCCAAAGTATGAGTTACTCATAGCACTGTCACATTCCTGTTTGACAAACCCTCTTGCTATTTGCACAGATCTGACGAAAATAAAGCGAAAAGAAAGTGAGAAGAAAAGATTACCAGGTGAGAAAGAAAGGAGAAGCAAAGTGCTGATATCTCGACAGGCAGCTGGGATGTGCTTTGACTTCCATCCAAAGGTAGGCTCAGAATGTCCATCCTGGCTAAAGTCTTACCTGGGGAAACCACACAGCAGGGGTGAAATCCTCAGCTGGAGCTACTTTTATATGCACTAGGCTGGGACTTGGCACTGGTACTTGAAGTATATTTAGTTCTGAAACAAATTGCTTCTTAGCTAGTAACAGTTTTACCCAAGATGGATGAAACGATAAACCAAACAAGTAACCCCTGTGTGAGAACAACTGCATCATCTCAGCCATGTTATTCACCTTGGGCCAGATCCTAGAGTAGATCTCTCTATGTTGGTCACATCAGTGAGAACTTGACTGTTCAGCACCTCCCGAGCTCAGGCTCCACATGGCTGTGCTCCTCCTCTTTAGCCAGCTGAATATTTCCCACAGAGCATGTGAGGAATTCATCTGTTTGCCCATGTGGATTGCAGTAAGTCTGAGATTTCCAGGAGTCAGAACTCACAGTGTATGCTCTGCACAGAGAACACACATCACAAATCCCACACATTCTGGCACCACTGCATCTACTGCACATACTCCTCAACAACTCAGTGCACAACAGCCTGGCAGCTCCACCCTACTTCCTCAGGGGACTGTCCCTGCCAAACTCATCCAGTCCTTTCACAGACTTTCAGATGAGTGAGAAATAGGTTAAACCAATTTAGGCTACTTTTACCTTTCTTTCAGGATACAAACTTTTATCTTGCTGGAACAGAAGAGGGTTGTATCTACCAATGCTCTTGTTCAAGCAATGGGCAGTTTCTAAAGACATACAGGGGCCATAAGGTGAGTGATACATAGAAAAAGCGATGACAGCAGAAACTGCTCATTTAAGTTCACAAATGTATTAGTTCCTTCACTTATTTTTACTAAACAAAACATCTGCAACAAAACAAACCTAAACTTCTATCAGAAACCAGTTCCCATAGCATAAAGCATCACAGTCTTATAGGATCAGTTTCTACTATAGATTAAGTAAGTTATTGAAACTTGTATTATAAACTGGTTTAAAGCTGCAGTTCTGGCTTTATATTAAGAAAACAACCAGTAATGTGATTGTCCTGCAAACCACAGTTAAATAGCCTCCCTTCTCACCCCTGAGTGAAAGGTAGCAGAACATTAACAGCACCTCTTTTGCAGTAAGTCTCTGCCTCATCCAAGAAGCTGCCCTCTCACCATCACAGTTTCCTAACAACTGGTGAAGGGGCAGAATCAGCTGAATCCTTTTTATTCCCAAGATCTCTCCTGCCTTATCACATCAGTTCCATCCTAATTTCCAATGGGTGACACATGATGCCGGTTTTGCTTTTAAGGTCAGAGGACAGCCAGGCATTTCCAAGAAGGGTCCCTATTAAAAACCATCCTGAGAGGCTGTAGCTCTAAAATAACACGGTTCTTTGTTTCTTCCCAAACACCAAGGGTCCTGTGTACAAAGTCACCTGGAACCCTCTCAGCACTGACATGTTCCTCAGCTGCTCTGCAGACTGGAGCATTATCCTGTGGCACCAGGATTCACAGACACCTGTTTTAACCTTCAGTTCTGCCAGTGCTTTTGTTCATGATGTTATGTGGTCTCCGAAATCAGCCTTCATGTTTGCAGCAGTGAATGAAAGCAGAGTAGAAATTTGGGATCTCAGGGTCAGCATGTAAGTAAATACTTTTCTCAAGGAAGATTCTGAAACTTAATGGCACAAAGGCTGCACACTATTGCCTGATCAGTGTTGTTATCGGGTCAGGCCACCTCCCTGACATTTGCTTGCTCAGTTATTGAAAGTATAGCATTTTAAAATACTCATTTTGTAACAGCACATGGTAGTTACCAGAGAATTGTGATTACAAGATAAGAAGCTGGGCGCTTTATGGAACTGATAAAAGGGCAAAACTGGGGTGTTATTTTCCCTGCAGAAATCACAGATTTCTGCCACAGTTAAAAGGAAAAGTAACAGAACTGAAACACTTCGGACCTTTTGTGAAGACAAGATGGTCAGAAGTTGAGGCATCTCTCACATTTCCCCTCTACTGTAAAGCAGGTGCACATCTCACCTTAGTCTGTGGCCTTGCACTGCTGGGCTGTCTCATTCAGTATTACCAACAGCATGAAGCCCATGTGGAGTGGGAGCCTGCCAAATCTGGTGGCAGCAAAAAGCAAATTCTCCATATCATAAAGATATCACCCCGAGCCCGTATCAGGCAATAGAACGGATTTTAGGCAGCCAGGATATCTTAGTTAATAGCAGCTGGGATTTTAGTTCTGGTACAGGCCTAAACAAAACACTGTTTCATTTCTTAAGTCCTTGAGTTAATCTAGAACGTAAACCAAACATCTATCAGGCTCAGTCAACACAATGTGACCTGTTAATTCTTGCCTCCACTGCAGCTTGGAGCCCATGCTGTCTCGCTTTGCCAACCCAACAGTCAAATTCACATCTGTCCTCTTTGCTAAGAACACCGACTGCCTTCTTGTAGGAGACAGTCAAGGAGAAGTTGGTGTGTTTTTGCTGCAGAACCTGGTTGCTCCCAACAGTAGTAAGGTATGATCTGCATGGGAAAGGTGGTAGCTCACAGAAACCTGTGTGCTTGTCTAGCACTTCATTCTTCTGCAAGGGGGTTTCTGTCAAACACTAGCTAATAAATATTGGAACAGGTGGAATCAGATACAATTCCATGAGCAGATTAAACCCCAAGGTGGTTCCTGCTCTTCTGCAGGCCATACCACTAGAAACCTCAGGAACAGTTAAGTCAGTGTTGAACTTCAGGTTTCACTGATGACAAATCCAGAGGTTGGCCACAGCTGGATTTGGGAGGGACCCTTGTGTCAAGGGCAGGAAGGTGGAGCTGCCTCTAAATGCAGACTGCAGGTGACTGTACTTGGCAGAATGCCTGCACCTGCAGACAGTGCAGGACCTGCCCTCTCATGGCCACCACCAAGATAGTCTCACTTTGCTGGTGGCAGCAAACACATCAGCCCTTTGGCTCTGTATTGCCCTCACTCTTCCAGAAGCTACCCTGGGTGCTCCAGCACAAGACAGATCCCTCCTCTGATCCATCCATGCTGATGTCCATCTCAGCTTCATTCTTAGGGTATTACAGGTTAATAATTCACAAGTGGCAGTGTTGCATTTAGAAATTCTGGTAATTACCAGACTCATTTGCCAAGTGCTGTAAACCATAGAGCAAAAAGATAGTTCCCTTAAAAAATAAAAGTGAGGCCATTGTCATCTCAGTCTCCCCTCTGGCAGGTTAAAGCCATCCCCTTGTCCTGTCCCTACAGGCCCTTGCCCAAAGCCCCTCTCCAGGTTTCCTGGAGCCCCTTTAGGCACTGGAGCTGCTCTAAGGTCTCCCTGGAGCCTTCTCTTGTCAAGGCTGAACAACCCACATCCCTCAGCCTGTCTCCCTGCCATACATTTATCATCTTGAAGATTAATTTCCTTGAAAAACAAGATATATGTTTGTTGCTGACACTACAAACGCAGTCCAAGCAGGCCTGCCAAAAAGTGCTGTTTTCAAGGAGCACTGTTAGAGGTAAGCAGTACATCACCAGAGCTCCAAAGAAGAATCAGCTGACGCAACACAAACTACCTCAGCCTGTTTGCTGGGTGCTCGCCACGCAAGCAGTTCTGCTCTCAGTTTGTAAATAGGAATTGTGAATCACTGCATGTCTTACACTGCTCTTTTTTTTCCTCTTATTTTACAGGTTTAAGGCTTTACATTATAGGATATAATTGATCCTGCTGTAGGTGTTTAACAGTAGCTAAACAATACCCCTTCTTGGCTGGTAGACAGTGAGAAAGACCTATTGTAGTTTTAACAGAAACAGTTTATTCTTTTTCAATCATTAAAATTTCTCCAAGAAACATATTGGTTAGAAACTTCCTTCAAATGCTCTAAATTTTCCCCTAGAAGTCACACCCCCCCAATACCCCCCCGCCATTAGACAAACTATTAATACACAGCTGGCCTTGCCTGTAATACAGAGGTGGGAACAGAAAGGTCTCCATGATCTTTTCTCCTTGTGTGTTTTCTCCTTAGTTTTTCCACCAAGGCGTTTTCTCCTTGGGTTACTCAAAAAGCAAAAAAGCCAAAATCACCTCCTGCATAGGCCACTCCAAAACACAGCCTAAACCCCTACCAGGCTAGCCTGCATCTCCCCTGTGAGATCATACAGTAAATGAACAGAATTCCCATGAGATCCTAGAATCCCAGCCTGGTTTGGGTTGGAAGGGAGCTTAAAGCTCCTCCAGTCCCAACCCCTGCCCCGGGCAGGGAACCTTCCACTAGAGCAGGTTGCTCCAAGCCCCTGTGTCCAACCTGGCCTTGAACACTGCCAGGGATGGGGCAGCTGCAGCTTCTCTGGGCACCCTGTGCCAGCACCTCAGCACCCTCACAGGGAAGAGTTTCTGCCTAAGAGCTCATCTCAATCTCCCTTCTGGCAGGTGAAAACCATTCCCCTTGTCCTGTCCCTACAGGCCCTTGTCCAAAGCTCCTCTCCAGGTTTCCTGGAGCCTCTTTAGGCACTGGAGCTGCTCTAAGGTCTCCCCTTCAGGAGCCTTCTCTTCTCCTGGCTGAATAAGGATCTTGTCTCTCATTCCGTAAACCATCACTGAGAGTGGAAGCTGAGCTTTGATTAGCATCAGGAGCTGCAGACCAGCCCACACCAGGTACAAGGAGAGACCAACCTTGTTCATCCCCTGATGAATTAGGATAACATAAAATTGCCATTTAAACTCACTCTGCTCCAAACTGACACTTTCAGAAAGCTCCTCACATGACACAACAGTGTCCAGGCTGCTGGACCACGGTGTCTTAGAGGATTTCCAGAGCCTGACTGCTCACAGAAAATACAGAGCATCTCTACAGATGAGTCACTAAGACCAAGGAACTCTGTCACAGGAGCGGGGTGACACAAAGCTCGGCAGTAAAGCTCCCTGCCCCCCATCTGACGGGGGCGATAGCTGCCTGCTCCCTCAAGCATTACATCTCAAGACATGTATTCCATAGATACAGAACACTCAGACCCTCTCAGTAGCCTGACAGTAAACATGCAACATTTAAACACATCACTGAAGTTAAAGACCATTTGTGAGGCATTAACATTTACTTCCTTCTGTGTTCTGCACATTTTACAGGGACTGTGCAAGCTCACCCTGGACATAAAATTAATCTTTGTGCATTTCAAAGAAGGACACCCATTAAGGTGAATCATGTGTTAATCATTATTACAGATCTGAACAAAATACACCATATATTTTCCATTGGTGGTTCTGATTGTTTACTCACTGATGCTACTGGTAAAAAACAAGCTTTCTGTCAAGGCTGTAACACATCGTAATTCCCCCTGTACACAGTGTAAACTTGTCATCTGGAACATTATGGTGCTGGAAAACACTTGTAGTGCTAGGAAGTGCTAGAGATCTCCTAAGATCCTCCTGTATTTTGCTCTTACACAGAATTTCTGACCTCATAATTGCCAGATTTTCTCCTTAAGGCATTTTATTGCAAGATGTTTTTATATAAGCTGATGGCAACTGCAGCCGACAACATCCAGAGCAACAGGAAGGGACCCCTCTCGTAATCTACTAACCTCTGGTCCTGGAGCACAGTAACACTGCTCCACCCTGCTCCAGTGAACCCAGTTGTGTCTTTCAGCTACCACCAGAAAGAAAAAAACAGCCAGGCCCATATCTGTATCTGTTCTTGCTGCGTTTCGAGCCGTCTCCCGCTCTGTTCCATGACTTTTTGGAGAAGGGCTACATCCACAGGCCTCACTGCAGAGACATTTGAGCTGTGCAGCTGCACTGGAGCTACTTCCAGGCAAATACCTATGGATGAAAACTGACAACCAACTCCATCACTCTGTACAGTTTGTCACAGCCAGTTCACAGCCAGCTCCATGTGCTGCCAGATCGCGTCCTAACACTCAGCACACCAGGAATCAGAGCAGGGCATCTACAGGCTCAGGTGCCTGCATGAGCCACAAAACCCCCTCCGTACCCCATTTTGTTGTGAGTGACTGCTCAGCACCAGCAGGTTACTCCAAAGTGTCCACAGTTGCCAGCTTGACAAAAGAACAAGACAGAGGTAATGGAGGGGCACACAACTGGGGATATCACAGGAGTTAACTCCTTCTTAGTTTGGGATCACGTACAGAAAAAGACCTGATGCCACTCAAACTGTGATAATGGGCATGACTGGGAAGAGGCTGTGTGCTGTGTGGGAAACACAGGAATGAAACCCATTATCTACAAATCATGTAACAAACACCATCTCATTTTTGCAGAACATACACATTAATGGTATCAAACTGAGCCTGCACCCTAGAAGCATGTTATACTACACGATGTTCCTATAGCAAAGCAGTTCCATAAGGAACTCCTTAAGGACACTTTAATATGCGACTGAAATCCCAGCACAAATCCTGAAGCACATAAAACATCACTGGAAGGAAACAAGCCATCAGCTTGTTTTTAGCAAACATTAAGTCATCCTCAGAACGAGCTGTTACTCAGTGGAGCGGACGGGCCCTCCGTATAAAGGTGAGGGTGGCAGCAGAACTCACTACCTTAGCCTCACAGATCCCTCCTGCCCCACTAACACCAGCCTCCAAGCACCCGGTCTGCAGCATGAGGGGCACGGTGCTGGTGCTGGCCTCACTCGCACTCCTGATCACAGCACAGGAAGGCAAAGGTGAAGGGAACACCATGAGGCTCTGCGGGAGAGACTTTGTCAGAGCCATTGTCTTCACGTGTGGCGGCTCTCGGTGGAAAAGGCACTTGACTGATTATCAGTACCTGTTTGGTAAGTACTCATTAACACATTACAGCCTTTCTGCCCCCTGGAAGGCATGCCCAGCTCCAAGGGGATTCTGAACCATGTCACCTGCAGGCTGTGCCTAAGGGCAGAGCTGTGCCCTCTGCTGCTGCTGCTCCCCTGAACAGGCATCTCAGATGCCAACAGCACAGGCTCTGCTTGGAGACAGCAAGTTTTCTGTTTCCTTGCAGCTTGCTTGGCATAGCTTAAATAAAATACATTTAGATTGAGACCTTCCAAGTCAACCTGAGAAACCACGAGTTAAGGCCAAGGCTACCACTAGGAATCTCTATGGCGATGACATTTTAAATGTCAGCGACAGCTTTGCACAGTCCATGGAAGTTCTTTACCGTTATCTTCAGTAGGACACACCGCTTTCCCCATTAGAAACTATAATACGACTTAAGAATATTATTATTAAAGTATGTTAAATATATACTCTACAATTTAAGTACCTTCATGTGGTGGTGTATATTTATATTTATTAGCACAGTTTTAGACAGAGTCAGAAAATTCAGCCATTACTGCTAGAAATTTCTAACTCTGATAGGTTAAAATAACCAGAAAAAGGAAACTGAACAAGGCAGATGACAGGAGCAGAGGCTTTCTACACCTTCCATGCAGTAACTTCTGTCTTTTATGAAAATTGTATTGTAGCAGCAGCTTTAAACAAACATGAACAGTGATGCCACCTGCAATGCCCTACCTGAGAGTCTGTTACAGGAGAAACCCCTGCTGCTAAACTAAGCCAGAGAACTATTACACCTTTACAGGTTCCACAAGGCAGTGCCCAGTTGTACTGTGGTATTTACAGTGCACCTGAATCACAAATGTAATTTAAGTGGGAACATCCAGAACTTTGAAATTGTGGGGTATCTGATGTTTTAACACAACATCTGCCTTTCAGGAAACCTGCACGCAGCTCCAGTGCCAAACACATCAAATCACAGTTTTACCCTTCAAAGCAAATATATCAGTGTGAGACTAATAAGGGAGTGTTCTACAAACAAGACTCTCTAACATAAATCCAAAAATTACTGGGTTTTTAACATGTTAATCACAGAATGGGGATATCACATGTCTATTTTAATACTGCCCTGGTAAGAAGTCAGTGATCTGGTATATCTTGTTCACACTAGAAACACAGAGGATAGATAATACCTTCAACTCCCTGGCTGTAGGTTGGTCTGTCTTTCTAGTAAACATAACTATTATGAACTACTCATGATTCCATGACTTCTAATTTTCATGTGGCAGAGAATGAAAATCCCCTGCCTCTCTCACAAGAGAACAACGGCTATGCTGACCCCTCAACGTACACAGACCAGAGGCTGGAGACGGACAGCGAAGAAATTCCCAACGAGAAGCCCGAGTCAGAGCAGGACTTGCAGCACTCCAGGAAAACATTTGTGCTCCAAAAGCGCGAGGTAGCCAAGCTGCTCACCACCTCCTGCTGCAGCATCGGCTGCCCTGTGCTGAAACACAGCGGATGCTGATGAGGTTCGATGTCACGGCTTTCACGTAATAAATAATCATGACATAAACCAGTATTATTTCAGTTGTATTCTTGAACTGTAGCTTTATTCTCTGGAGCACACTAGGGAGTAAAGGCTGAATGTTCAATGTAGTGCAACCCAGCAAATGCTGCAAGGACAGTTCAGGCTGGAATGCCACAGTCTTCACAGTGGTTTAGAGTTAAACTTCTAGTCATTAGTACAAATATCTCGTCCCACCTAACTACTGTTCTAGTTCCACATAAAATGCAATAAACCAAAAAATTTATTATATGCTCATTCTGTTATGAAAACCCAGCAGCAGGTTTCACCTGTGAAATATGGGCAGCAACAAGTCCTTTTTCAGAACCAGAACCAAACCCAGGCCATGCAGACAGCTCTGTCAGCGTGTCACACAGCGAGGTCCATCAGCCAGACCCCAACACCACAGCAAGGAAGGGCTGCAGGCAGGAGCTGCCATCAGTTAGGACCAGCCCCAAACTGGACAGGCAATAGCCAGGATTTATTTCCTATTCCAGCTGCTTCCAGCAATGGCTACACGAGGTGGACAGTTAATTTGCACCCAGGGAGACTGGAAACATACTTCTGAGCTCACAGGGCTGTACTTTCTCTCTTAGTTATAGATAGGTATCAACTGAGAATCCCAATTCAGTTTTTCTTTGCTGGATTCAAGCACCTTCAACAGAAGGGCCCAGACACGTTAGACCTATATACTCTGAAGATGATAGAATTTGAAGATGTTTTTCACTTGATTTCAAGCGAACTGAGCTAGTCTTCTCCAAGCAGAACCAGCCCCCTTCTTTAGGCCACCTTTTCTGTACTCATCGTGCAGGAGCAGCCAGGCCAGAATGACTCCCTCATTCTCCTTTCCTCTCTTCAGCA